CCCCCCGGAACGCAGGCGGAAATATGGCTGAGGGAGGTGCTGGGGTGCTGCCCAGCCGTGAAGAGTTGGACCACCTCACCAAAGAGAATAGGTCGCTGAGGGAGGCGCTAACGGCCATGGCTGTCAAGAGTGCCGCCGGTGAGGTGGACATGAGTACGAATTGCAACTGTTGTTGATATCATTGCTCTTGTGCTGCTGCTGCTGCTGCTGCTGCTGTGTGCTGTTGTAGTCGTTGGATGATGCTGCCGTTGTCGATGTGCTGGTGTCGCTGTCAGTGTGGCGCTCTTCCGTCGCAAGTCACTTCTCTACTCCAAAAGAGTGTTCCGCCCCGCTGCTTCCCCTTTCCTCCCTCGCAGGAGACGCCCACGCAACAGCAGGAGACGGTGGTGGTAAACCTACCCCCGTCGAAGACGGCGCAGAGGAGGCTGGCGCGAAGGAGCAGAGAGCTGTGGAAGAGACGGAGGTCTCGAGCAAGCTGCACCAAGAAGCGGTGCGCGCGCCGTTGGTACATAGTGGGTCGTTGTTGCATGGGGAGTGTTTCTTATATGCTTGTTGATTGCCTGGGTGTGTGTTCTGCTCAAGTACTTTCCGGTACATGAAGTGCGTGCAAGGAAGTGTGTGTGTGGCATGAGTGCTAATTTATGCTGATAAAAAGGCATGTCCTTTTCATTTTTGTTTATACTGTATCTCCTTGCCGACGCGCCATGTTCCAGTGCCTTGAGTATTTAGCGTGATGCTTTTTCCCTCGACGTTGGAGCTGTGCGGCAACAGCAGGAAGGAGAAGGAAGGCGTACACATCAGAAACCGGAGAAGCTCTCTACAAGCCCGCCGTCTTCGCCCCCCGCCCCTACTAGTTTGCCCCCCACCAACCCCCTCGACTGATCCACATAATGGTGCAGCTGGGATGGGCTGTGATTCACGCTCCGACAAGTACCCGGCAGGTGTTTCATGAGGTAGTTGCTTTTTCGCTCATTTGCTGCTGTTTTTGTTTTTTTGGTTTTAGACCGGCAGCGAGGAACACCACCGAGCGGGCGGGCTATGCCCATTCCCCTGACATGCCCATCCCTCCCTCCCTCCCCGCGTGCCAACCAACGCATTGCCCCTTCCATATCGATCAATCGATGTCCTAAGGCGGACAAGCGGGTGGAGCAGCTGACCCGCGTGAACGAGACTATCATGCGCCAGCTGCAGACGCTCATGGCGAGGAAAGACAGCCCCCGGGAGGCTGCCCGGCGTGCTAGTAGAGCGGTGGGTGGCGGGCGGGCGGCAACGGCGGCGGCGGCAGGAGGTGATAAGGATAAGGACAAGAGCGAGCCCGCTGCAGCCGTCCAGGCCGACATGCAGCGTTTGATTGCGGAGGTGGGGAGTGTTGCGGGAGGAGGTTGAGTGCCGGGTTGACTGGACGACAACGTGGTTCCCTGTGTTGGAGATGCAGCGTTTTGGTGTTTTCGGCGTGCTTTTTAACATGTCACGTTTGCCAACCGATTGTTTAGAACCGGTCGCTGACTGCCTGCATCGTTTCCATGTGGCGGAGCGTGTCAAAACACGCGGCAAGGTGCCGGAACGGTTTTACTCGTGCAATCTTCGTATCCGTAAATATATATATATATATATATATATGTGGTTTTCTTATTTTACCATTTGCGCTGTCGTTCTTCTGTTTTTTCCTTCTTCCTCTGTTTACTCCTTCTTCCCCCCAGCCGAGCATTGTTCATGCAACAGCTACCCCTAATCCTGCCCCCCCCAAACCCCCGGTGCTTTTCTCGCCCAGATGGGAGACCTTCGTCAGCTCGTGGCCGGAGGCTTCGCCAACAAGAACACCGCCAAAGCCGCTCGAAACCCGGGGACGGTACCCTCCCATCCCCTTGCGGTTTCCGGCGACGGCGACGGAGGCGGTGTGATGCCCAGTGATTTCCCCGCTCCTGCAACGACAGGTGCTTCCCGAGAGGAAGCCGCGGCCGGGAATGGGGTCCGCGGAATGAAGGAAGATGGTACCACCCTGGAAGAGGCGGAGGGGGGCGGCAGCGGGGGAAATGTTCCCGCTCCCGCGACCGGGAGCGCGGAGGAATTTTCCGAGAAGCCACAGCAGCAGTGGGGGCCTAAGACCGCTCAGGTGACGGGGTTACAGGACAAGTCAGCAGTTGTTTCCGTGTGATCGTGTTCTGGGTGCGTCTTCGAAGCAGAACGAGAAACTCATAGGAAGGGAGGAAGGGACCCCACGGCAACTAACTCACCGCCCCCTTGCGGCGCTTTGTGTGCTGGGTACTCGAGTTCGTGCTCTCTATGTTGTTCTCGTTCGACACAGTCCCTGTTGTTCTCGTTGATCGTGCGTTGTTGATGGTATTCGTTGTTGGTGTTGCAGGGGCAGGAAGCCCTCCGATGGCAGCTACGGCGACTCAACCTCCCCCCGGAAGAGTGGGCGGAGGACGTCAGGAATATCAACGCGCAGCTCGTCGAGGCCCTGGAGCAGCTGCGAGAGAGGGAGGCGGAGCTGGACGAACACGAGGAGTTGATCGTCAGGTGGGTGGTTCGGTGGGTGGTTGGCTTCAAGTATAGCACGGTGACGGGCGAGACGCCTGGGCGAGTTTTCGAAGGGGGATGGGGGGCACGGTTTTGTTGGTATTTTCCGGCTCGTTGCGTGTGTGTCCAAGGATCGGGAACGTGGAGCTGTTTTTGCTCCAAGTGCGCGCGAGGATGTGATCTTGTGGCTAGACGGTAGACTGCAGATGGGCAGTTCTCCTTGGGAGGGGGGGGGTGAAGATAGCGCGTCGGTCGCACAGTTCGTAGGCCTGTGGGCAGAGTGTTAGAGAATCGAAAACAGCCGCTGCCACCGAGGATGCGCGCGTGAAGATCGAGACGACGAACAGGCGGCGTGCGGAGGGGGTTCCGTGACGCGAACCGCTTGGGGGGTCTGTTGACCCGGTGCCTTGTCTTTGTGGGGACTGGAAAACCTGGTTGAGGAGTCAGAGGACCTGAGTACATGTTGTGGGTCTGCGTGTGAAGCCGTGGGGGCCCTTCGGTACTGCCGGTATGTTTGTTTTTTTGTCTCCCATCATTGGACTCTGTCATCTGCCCTTCTGACCCCTATCCTCCACTTCTACCAGCTAGAGGACCCGGCCGGGGTCACGTAGGAGGAGGGGGTTGGACCCCCTCCTGCGGTTCATGTGTGCCCGCCTGATTCACCGGTACTGCACATGACCGGGCAGTGGCGACGGGCGTTCATTGAGAGACCCCACACTTCCAACGGTTCCCACCTGCGCCTGGTGGATGTCTGTCCATGGTAGCCGCGTCAACGCAAAGATTGGAAACGGAATTGGCGGCGACAACGGGATCGGAGTGGAACCCGGGTTTCGAGCTTGGGCGAGATGGTTCAGGGTGACAACACCATGACGGGAACTTGTGTGAATGACTTCGTTCAACCGACACTACCGTAGGTTGCATGATGTAAAATAACACACCCCCTGGACCGATTTTCACAGCTCGATTACTCCACAATGAAGAGGATGCACAAAATCAAAGGATACGTTTTCGGAAAGCTCTCAACGGGACGGTTCCAACGCCGTCACTGAGTAGTCGAGCTTTGAAAATCGGTCCAGGGGGTTTGATACCTTATGCAACCAAGGGTATACCGGTTAGTGGCACTGCTCAACCGGCATTAGTGAGGGACCCGGACTGCAATATTGTAGTTATTCCACCCGTCCTCACCTATTGTACTTGCCCCCCCCCCCCCCCCCCCCCCCCCCCCCCCCCCCCCCCCCCCCCCCCCCCCCCCCCCCCCNGGTCCGGATATTCAACTGGATATGGAAACACGAATACGCGCCGAAGAGATGGAGAGAAGGAGTAGTCGTGAACGTGTTCAAAAAGGGGATAAGTCTGACCCGGGGAATTATAGAGGGATAACCTTGCTGAGCACAGTGGGGAAACTCTTTGGCAAGATGATAAACAATAGAATGGGAGACATGTTGGAGGCGAAACAAAAGATCAGCGAAGGACAAGCTGGATTTAGACCATATCGTAGTTGTGTAGACCATGTATATACGCTGAGTAAAATTATCCAAGGTAGGAAAGACGCCGGGCGTACGACATACTGTTTCTTCCTAGATGTACAAAAAGCCTACCACACCGTTTGGCGCAATGGATTGTGGAAAAAGATGTGGGACACAGGGATCCGGGGGAAAATGTGGAGGATGTTGAAAAAGATGACAGAATGCACAAGAAGTGCAGTGATGTTGGATGGGGAAATCTCGAAGTACGTGGATATACTCCAAGGAGTCGCACAGGGCTGTACGATGTCACCCACTCTTTTCAAGATTTACATCAACGACTTGATAAGGGCGGTTGAAGCAGTAAGACAGGGAGTCCAAGTAGGGGGAAAGAGTGTGTCCGGACTGATGTTTGCAGATGATTTCGTGGGGGTATCCGAAACACCAGAAGGGTTGCAGGAACAAATAGATGCGGCAGTAGGATACACCCGAAAATGGAGACTGTCGGCGAACGTAGGAAAATGCGCAGTAGTGGTCTGTAACGAAGACAAGAAAAATCCCGTAGAATTCAAATGGAAATGGGGGGAGGAAGAACTACCGGTAGTAGACAGGTATACGTACCTGGGAGTAGAGATTTCGAAGGAGTGCTCATGGGACGCACACATAGCAAAGTTGATTGGGAAGGGTAAAGCTCAGATAGGCACGATGGACGATATCCTTACGGACCCACACCTAGACACTTAGGATTAAGAGGTGTGTTCTCTTGAATGTGATTGTACCAAGCTAGAGTATGCGGGAGAGGTATGGGAAGGTAACGAAAAGGCCGTCAAGCAGCTGGAAACGGTGCAGATGGCAGCGGCCAAGAAAATACTAGGATGTTCAAGTACAACGAGCAACACTGTATTGAGAGCAGAACTGGGAATGTACTCTCTTAAAACAAAGAGAGACATGCAAAAGTTGAATTGGCAGTACAAGGTAAGTAGAATGTCGGACGATAGACTACCAGCCATGGTTGACAAGGCAGCTTGGGGAAAAGCGACTCCAGGGAAGAAAGGAATCAGATGGGACAAGGTGGTAGAGAGGGTTTGGAAGGAGATAGGAGACGAGGAGGAGACATTGGACACGGAAGGGTTCGGGGGGTTCAAGAAGAAAGTCAAGGAGATGCTAGAAAGTAGGGAGGAGGCAACCCTTCGGAAGAAGGTACGAAGCGAAGACCACTTGGAGACATACAGGAAGTTGAAAGAAGGA